TTCTAACCAGCCAAGCAGTACTGTCTGTTCTCCATTGAATCTTTAGTTATCAGTGTATAGCCAGTTCAAATCGCCGAGCCAAGGAATAGCTCACAGTCACAGAAGTCAGAACAACAACCACACAGGTTTCATCTCAGAAAAGAGTCAGCTCTGAGAACCTGATGGTTGCTTTCTTTTTGGCCAGCAGTTTGACACCCAAGAGTTTGGAGAATCTTTATCTTTGAGAACTCCAGTGACGACTTGGGTTCAATAACAAGATGTATAGAAATCAAACGAACACTATGGCTGATGATTTGACTCTTTGATATAAGATAAAACTGCTGGTTTTTCAGAAAATATGTCCTGCCAAGGGTGCTCTTACTTGGTAGTGAACATCACAACTACCTGTGAACGTAGCAATGGTACTATAGTTCGACATTCGGCTTTAACTGCGATGATTGGACTACATGGTAAATGGGCAGCTGATGTCTACAATGGCCTTCATAAGAAGATTGGGACAATATGATCTTGTGAATATTTTGTTTCGTGTGCTACTGACAATGCTAGTGTTATGGCCTCGTTGAAGCGAACACTTGCGGGGGTGATGACTATGTACTTTATACTGAGACATCGGATATCAGATGTTTTTGCCATATTCTGAATCATGTTTCAGGTAATATTGTAAACGGACTTGGACCAACAAGCACTGTTCTAATCCCGGGAGACAGATATGAAGAATCAGCGGATGAAGTTAATTGAAATAAGGAAGTTGGGTCTGAGACTTCCGAAGAAGCAACTAAGGTAGCGTTGGCACTTTCTGAAAAGCTGAATGAATGTCTCTGCGCAGATTTGAGAGCTGCTCCAGGGAAGAATAACAAGCTCTGTTAGATGTTAAGTCATTCTCATGAATCCAATGGAGTTATCCGAGCCTTTAAAGAAGAGCACGATGTTCTGAGGGTTCAACGTTGTTGCAAAAAAGATGGAACTCTTTGCTCATTCACTTGATAGTTTTGTTAAGAACAGTGTGATAGTGGACGAACTCCACGGATCTGTTTGAAAAGTTCCAGAAGTCCTCCTCAGAGGAGTACTGTCAAATGACATCATTCAAGGGGATTATGTAAATGTTCACTGCAATGACTGAAAAACATTTTAAGGAAAAAGGGTTTACTTTATGTGACTGTATTGTCGAGTTTTAAGGCTTTGTTGTACAGTTAGCTGAGATTTGGCAGAAGCCAGCTGAAACGTCCAATAGATGGCTCAATGAAACCATTGAATTGGGATTTGAAGAGGCAAAAAGTTATCTCAAAGAGATTGTTGACAGCCGGACTCTGGTACTTTGCACAAATTCTGAAATACAATACATTTTCTCACAAAGTGCAGAAGTTGGCATTGAGAAGTATCTTGCAAAAATATAACTGATCTATGATAGCAATTGCTTATGCCATGAATACTGGAGCCAATGTTGAGGTTCAAAATGATGAGAATCAACATGGAGAGTGTCAGGCTTTTGCTCACACTGAACTCGATAATCAAAGTCTAAAGGCCATCATGAATCATTGTGTTGTATTGTCACGACCTGGAGACAAAATCAGCTGGTCTACAGAACCCATTTGCAATGGATTCAACAGGTTTCTATTCAGGTACAGGTCCAACCAAAATCCGATTACTTATCCAGAAGCACACTCTAGAGAACGCGCTTTTGCGAATCTTTTTTAATTTTTTCGAGAGGTGTTTTTGCAATACTCAATATAACTTCATCTTTTACATTGAGCCAAAGACCTTTCAGTAAATTTAGGGAGATGTTGAGATATAATGGACTGTTTGTCGACTTCTATAATTCCAGCTGGTATGAGTAATCACACACCTATATAGTTGTGTTTTATGGTGTGCAGGCCAGCTTCGGTAACATGTTAAGGGATTTTTAAATAAATTTTACTCAACGGATTCAGAATTGCACCAATTTCAGCTTTGTTGGACAACAAGACGCCAGTGTTAAAATGTTATAGACGTGTTCCTCATTCCATCCGTAGTTCTTGAGTAAGTTGAATTTGGGCATGCCCGAAATTGGCCCTGTAGTTCATACAAACTCGACTGTATCTCAAACTCCTGGCTTGCTCATAGAGTTCTAATAGGCGTGTACGCTTTCTTAAGTGTCATTTCATCTACTAATTGCAGTGTGAAATACGGCTGGTTCCTTCTCTATAGTCCTGTGAGCATTCTTACTCTTCAAGCTAACTTTCCAGACCTCACCGGGAGGCGCATCCACACTCTATCCATTGATCCCAATCAACCAAGTACCTCAAGCTCTCCCCTGGAAATTGCTTGTCTGGAGAAGAAATTTATACGGAAGTCCATTATTCGCTCATCATTACTCTATGATTAAGGCGTTTGTGCTTCTTCTCGAAGATCCTCGAAGATCGCCAGGAACATCGAAGATTCTCGGAGATCCCTCCGAAGCAAGTTTGTTATTCCCGAGGCGTTGCACAAGAGATCTTCCAGAGCGTAGCATGGACGCAAATCCTTAGCAAGTCCTTAGCAAATCCCTACTATGGTTCACCGGCTTGCTGTCATCTATGAACTGAAGGTTACACCGCTTCCATCTACTATCAACGTACTTCCAGGAGTCAACTAGAACGATGCTCTCAAACTCACGGAGCACGATTGGTTTAGAGCCAAACAAGGGAAGCCTCTACTTAATATAGCTAAAAAAAATCTTCTTTGTTCACTCATTTATGCTTGCAGCCAGATTGCATAAGCACACGTACGTCGACGCAGACTCGTCCGTGTAGACGGACACGTTAGATTTGAAGAATACACGTCAGTCAGGTGAAATGACCCGCAATGAACGTTTTCTTAATCACAAATCAAGTGCTGGTTGGTTAATGACAATTCACACGAGACAACCAGAAACGGGGGATCAGGCCCAGGCTAAGGGCTTGTGTTTTTGTATCATTTAATTAGATCTCCCATCACCGCGACCAGTCTGCATCTCCTGAAGTGTGTTTTCAATGCATCGATCGACTCGTGCAGAGGCCTTCTCTAGCCCGCCCAGTTTCTCCGTTGTGCTCTTCGAGGTTCAGCTTATAATCCTATAATAATGTACACGTCACGATATATTACACAACTAACTACTGTAATGGCACATTCCTTTGCACGTTGTGTGCTTCTGGAACGTCTACCAGTAATACGAGTAGTGACAATGACATAACTCTTAA